AACAAATAACACATAAACATACTTGCACGACTTGGACATTCACACTTATGATGTAATTTTACAGATTAACCTTGGGAACAACTCAACGGCTCGTTAGCGAATCCTTGAATAGAGATCAACACCTTATAAAAATAATCTTGGGAACAGCAAGAGTGGTAAAATCCTTTAAAAAACATTCACCTGAGCGACTATGAGGATTCAACGTCTAAAATAAACGAGACATTTCAAACACTTAGCACACACCTAATTTCGTAGTTTATAACATTAACATTAAAGTTTCATCTGTTTCATCTCGTAGATTTCCGTGTACTTGCTCTCCCTGACGGTATTTCTCAAACTAATTTCTTTTTTCAATGTTCGTTTGTCAATGCTTAATCTTAAATACAATTATGCTGACCTAGCGGAAGGGAATTGAAAATGGACCGGATGGGTTTATGTGTTTTGGTTCTCTGCTGCAGCGATGTTTGTGCTGGGCTGGCATTTTTTATTGCCGAAAAGTATTTGGCCGTCCGTTCTAATTGTGTGGTTGCCGTAGGGGTTTCGGTGAGGCTGAGGCTTAGGTAACTTAGAAATAATTGTATGAAAGTCGAAGTTTAGAAATAAAATTCAAATAAAATAAGTTCAATGTGCAGAGATATATATATGATACATATCCTATAGAGTGCCTATCTTATTTTTCCATATATTACATAATTTTTAAGTAATTAAAAGGTATAATTTTTATTTAATAAAAAGTTGTAACTACTTTGACAGTGCACAGGGTAGTACATCATACTTACAACATATGCTCCTGTGCATCAGTGAGTTTGAGCGAAAGTTTTGTATTAAGGTAATATTTGTATTAGGGTATTTGACATTTTTTAGCAAATAGAATAGAGTTATTAATACTACTTCGCAAATACATTGTTTAGTGAGAAATCATTTAATTTACTTTAAGTTAAATATCATTAATTAAGTATAATATGCTTATACAACTTAAAAATGTGAGGGGATTAGGACAACTTATTATCAGCTTCTTGATTTTTGCCTCGTCTTTATCAATATCAAGATCAAGGTGACGGCCAATATGCAAGGCATCATTTCGTCTTACATAAAGTTGGCCACCAAAGTTTCTGTCCGGTACTTTCTGTCTGCGTTTTGGTTGAAGGCGTTGCTATAAATTACCTCCGACAGTACAAGGACGCGATTGTCTCCGAAACGATGTAGGCGTAATACTCGGCTCCGTATCCCAAAAAGTGGCTGGAGCGAAGCTGGAAAGCAGGGATTTCAATAGAGAGAAGGCCAGAGTAGCATCCCTGCACTGATCGCTTGGTGTTGGTGCTGATGCTGGTGATCCTGGTAGTGTATATCGCTGGCAACCAAAAATGCTTGAAAGAAAATTCTCGGAAATTGGTTGGTGAGACTGAAAGTGACGGGCAACAGTGCGAATTTGACGGGAAAGTAAAAACCACAACTGCGGGCCAGCTCATGGCGGCATCGCAACAGATCTGCGCTGCAGTTCCTCCTGGTTCTCTGTCGGTTGCAGATAAAGTCGATATGCGTTCTAACGTATATTACAATTTTCTGCGGAAAGATATATAAGAAACTGTCATTAGTATTGGAGTAACAAGCATATAGAAATACTTTTTACCAATGGCTTCAGGGACATGGCTTTGCGGCAATGCACTGGGTAGAACGGCTCCATTCATAAACTTCCAACATGGCTACAGAATGTACACATGGAGACGCTCAATCCCTGACCGCTCCTTCTCGTGCAAAAGAAACACAAGCGCTAGGTCTCTATAAAGGGCATGGTTCGTGCTGAGGCTTTTTACCACGCCACAAAAGCTGATGCAGCCTGCAAGCCTTGCATTGTCAATGCGCTATCCGTTCGAACTCGAGTAGATGTGCCGACTGTGTCCGATATGGCCTTTAAGATAAACTCTCTACATTGCCACGCGGTAAGAAGCAGCCTTCGGAACTTTGTAGTTTTGACAAACGGAAGACTTCTTGTGAGGGAAACGGCCGTGGAAACGTAGTCAGTTTCATTTTGATTTACGGACCCCTGCTCTTATCACATCGTTGCGAGTAAAATTTATCCTCTGCCCGGACGCGCATTAAACGCCTTGGCCAACGGCGTCCATGTGTATCAACAAAGTTCGTCTAAATTTTAACATGGGGATTGCCTAGACGCGGAACACTCAAATTTCTGGTGCATGTGATTAAATAGGCTATCAGCTGTCGACAAACAGTTGCAAGGTTGCCATGCGCTTTTAATTCAATTTGCGGGAAATCGTTATTTTGAATTCAATATTACAAACATATTTAATTTCAAATTTATGTCAACTAAGTAAGAATTACAACTTGCATAAACACAAATAATAATTTTAGGATCGTATCTGCAACCACAACCAAAACCGACAAAAAAGCATTTTCTCAATAAATATTGTCTATGAAACAACTAATTAAAAAGTATAATCCTTATTTACTAAAAAGTTGTAACTATTTTGAAAGTGCACAGGATAATATATCATACCTACAACATATGCTCCTGTGTATAAGTGAGTTTGAGCGAAAGTTTTATGTATTAAGGTAATATTTGTATTTCGGTATTTTAAATTTTATAGCAAATTGAATAGAGTTATTAATACTACTTCGTAAATACATAGTTTAGTTAGAAATCATTCAAATTACTTGAAGTTAAATATCATAAATTAGGTATAATATGCTTATACAACTGAAAAATGTGAGGAGATTAGGACAACCGATAATCAGCATCTTGATTTTTGGCTCGTCTTTATCAATATCAAGATCAAGGTGACGGCCAATAAACAAGGCATCATTTCGCATTGCATAAAGTTGGCCACTAAAGTTTCTGTCCGGTAATTTCTGTCTGCGTTTTGGTTGAAGGCGTAGCTATAAATTACCTCTGACAGTACAAGGACGCGATTGTTTCCAAAACGATTTAGACGTAATACTCAGCTTCGTATCCCAAAAAGTGGCTGAAGCGAAGCTGCCAAGCAGGGCTTTTAACAGAGAGAAGGCTAGAGTAGCATCCCTGCATTGATCGCTTGGTGTTGGTGCTAATGCTGGTGACCGTTGGTACTCCTGGTAGTGTATATCGCAGATAACAAAAAATGCTTGAAAGAAAATTCTCGGAAATTGGTGGGTGAGACTGAAAGTGACGGGCAACAGTGTGAATTGCCGGGAAAGTAAAAACCACAACTGCGGGCCAGCTCATGGCGGCATCGCAACAGATCTGCGCTGCAGTTCCTCCTGGTTCTCGGTTGGCTGCAGATAAAATCTATATGCGTTCTCACGTATATTAACATTTTCTGCGGAAAAATAAGATATATAAGAAACTGTCATTGGTATTGGCGTAACAAGCTTATAGAAATCATTTTTACCAATGTCTTTAGGGACATGGCTTTGCCGCAAAGCAGTGGGTAGAACTGATCCATTAATAAACTTCCAACATGGCTACAGAATGTACACATGGAGACGCTCAATCCGTGACCGCTCCTTCTCGTGCAAAAGGAACAGAAGCGCTAGGTCTCTATAAAGGGCATGGTTTGTGTTGAGGCTTTTTACCACGCCACAAAAGCTGATGCAGCCTGCAAGCCTTGCATTGTCAATGCGCTATCCGTTCGAACTCGAGTAGCTGTGCCGACTGTGTCCGATATGGCCTTTAAGATAAACTCTCTACATTGCCACGCGGTAAGAAGCAGCCCTCGGAACTTTGTAGTTTTGACAAACGGAATACTTCTTGTGAGGGAAACGGCCGTAGAAACGTAGTCAGTTTCATTTTGATTTACGGACCCCTGCTCTTATCATATCGTTGCGAGTAAAATTTATCCTCTGCCCGGACGCGCATTAAACGCCTTAGCCAACGGCGTCCATGTGGATCCACTGCGACTTTATTGACTTGGCGCCATTTCAGCAGGGATCGACTTAATTGTAACAAGGTGCTTGCATAGAGTCGGGCCACTCAAATTTCTTTCTCGAAATGGACAGATTAAATAGACAATCAGCTGTCGACAAACAGTTGTAAGGTTGCCATACGCTTTGAATTTAATTGGCCGGAAATCGTTATTTTGAATTCAAAATTACAACTATATTTAATTCGAAAATTTTGTCAACTGAGTAAGGTTAAACTTCCATTTACATGAACACAAATAATGTTTTAGGATCGTATCTGCTACAATAACCAAATCCGACAACAGAGGCATTTTCTCAATAATTATTTTCTATGAAGCAGGAGCAATACGAATTTAACTCAGAATCGACATTGCAATTGATGGATGCACATATTATATTAAGAGAAGCACAATTGCTTTTTGAACCGTTCTTCTTTTTGCCCGATCAGTTTCGACCAAAACGATAATTAAAATGTGTTTTAAAATTTTAGATTATAATACCTTATAAATAATTGTACGCACGCCTAAGTCTAAAAATAAAATTCAAATAAAAGAAGTTCAATGTGTAGAGATATGTATATATATGGTACATATCCTATAGAGTACCTATCTTATTTTTCCATCTATTGCATAATTTTTAAGTAATTAAAAAATATAATCTTTATTTAATAAAAAGTTGTAACTACTTTGACAGTGCACAGGGTAGTAAAACATAATAACAACATATGCTCTTGCGCATCAGTGAGTTTGAGCGAAAGTTTTTTTGTATTAAGGTAATATTTGTATCTGGGTTTTTGACATTTTTCAGCAAATTGAATGGAGTAATTGTCATTGTAGAGCAATGTGTATAATAAATTAAAAACTTAATACCACTTCGAATATAGATTTTTTAGTGAAAAAGCATTCAAATTAATTTTTGTTTGCTGAATCAAACATCTTTATCTATCTTTAAAAGCTTTTAAGCTATTGGATTTCGAGTATTGGTTAAATAAGCGAGACCTTGAAATAAACATAAATACTTTTTTAAATTTCCCGCCCCACTTCAGTGCGTTGCCAAATATTTGGATAGAAAACTCATCGAAAAATACCGTCCCGAGAACAAAGTGGCAAGGCTATAATTTATTTTGACTTGCCTCGTGGAAACAAATTGTTCACATCTTTATAATTACGTTGAAGATGGCAAAGTCCTCAAACCCTCTGAATTATTTTCGCAGCATCTACAACAACGAATTCCAATGGTAAGTTATTAAATCATCCACTACGGTCAAACCGACTTTACTTACAATTATCGCATATTTGTCTAAAGGATGCTGGTCAAGAGCTATGGACTTTTTTTTCTGGGAATGCGTTTGGCCAAGGAGTTTGTTGGTGTTGAGCTGATGCCAGCGCTAGGACCAGACTAATTGAAATTCCAAATTTAAAACGACCCTTCAACTAAATATATTAAATATATTGTGCTTATACAATTGAAAAAATGTGAGGAGATTAAAACAACTGCTTATCAGCATTTTGATTTTTGTCTCTTTGTCCATATCAAGATCAAGGTGTCGGCCAATAATCATCGCATAATTTTGCATTTTAGAATGTTGGCCAACAAAGTTTCGGGACGGTACTTCCCGTCTGCGTTTTGATTGAAGGCGTTGCTATGAAGTACCTGTGACAGTACAAGGACGCGATTGTCTGCGAAACGATAATGGCGTAATACTAAGCACCGTACCCCACAAAGCGCTTAAACCTATCCGGTTGTACTAACATTTACGGACTATGGCTCTTACCATATCGTTACGAGTAACATTTATCATATGGACGGACGCGCATTTAACGTCTAAATTTTAACATGGGGATTGCCTAGACGCGGAACACTCAAATTTCTGGTGCATGTGATTAAATAGGCTATCAGCTGTCGACAAACAGTTGCAAGGTTGCCATGCGCTTTTAATTCAATTTGCGGGAAATCGTTATTTTGAATTCAATATTACAAACATATTTAATTTCAAATTTATGTCAACTAAGTAAGAATTACAACTTGCATAAACACAAATAATAATTTTAGGATCGTATCTGCAACCACAACCAAAACCGACAAAAAAGCATTTTCTCAATAAATATTGTCTATGAAACAACTAATTAAAAAGTATAATCTTTATTTAATAAAAAGTTGTAACTACTTTGACAGTGCACAGGGTAGTACATCATACTTACAACATATGCTCCTGTGCATCAGTGAGTTTGAGCGAAAGTTTTGTATTAAGGTAATATTTGTATTAGGGTATTTGACATTTTTTAGCAAATAGAATAGAGTTATTAATACTACTTCGCAAATACATTGTTTATTTAACTTTAAGTTAAATATCATAAATTAAGTATAATATGCTTATACAACTTAAAAATGTGAGGAGATTAGGACAACTGATTATCAGCTTCTTGATTTTTGCCTCGTCTTTGTCAATATCAAGATCAAGGTGACGGTCGCCTTGCATAAAGTTAGCCACCAAAGTTTCTGTCCGGTACTTTCTGTCTGCGTTTTGGTTGAAGGCGTTGCTATAAATTACCTCTGACAGTACAAGGACGCGATTGTCTCCGAAACGATGTAGGCGTAATACTCGGCTCCGTATCCCAAAAAGTGGCTGGAGCGAAGCTGGAAAGCAGGGATTTTAACAGAGAGAAGGCCAGAGTAGCATCCCTGCACTGATCGCTTGGTGTTGGTGCTGATGCTGGTGATCCGTTGGTAGTAGTGTATATCGCTGGCAACAAAAAATGCTTGAAAGAAAATTCTCGGAAATTAGTTGGTCAGACTGAAAGTGACGGGCAACAGTGTGAATTGCCGGGAAAGTAAAAACCACAACTGCGGGCCAGCTCATGGCGGCATCGCAACAGATCTGCGCTGCAGTTCCTCCTGGTTCTCTGTCGGTTGCAGATAAAGTCGATATGCGTTCTAACGTATATTACAATTTTCTGCGGAAAAATAAGATATATAAGAAACTGTCATTAGTATTGGAGTAACAAACATATAGAAATACTTTTTACCAATGGCTTCAGGGACATGGCTTTGCGGCAATGCACTGGGTAGAACGGCTCCATTCATAAACTTCCATTAAGACGCTCAATCCGTGACCGTTCCTTCTCGTGCAAAAGGAACACAAGCGCTAAGTCTCTATAAAGGTCATGGTTCGTGCTGAGGCTTTTTTCCAAACCACAAAAGCTGGTGCACCCTACAAGCCTTGCATTGTGAATGCGCTATCCGTTAGAACTCGAGTAGCTGTGCCAACTGCCGACTGTGTCCGATATGGCCTTTAAAATAAACTCTCTACATTGTCACGCGGTAAGAAGGAGCCCTCGAAATTTTTTAGTTTTGACAATCGGAAGACTTCTTGTGAGCGAAACGGTCGTGGAAACCTAGTCAGTTGCATTTAGAATTACGGACTCCGGCTCTTACCACATCGTTGCGAGTAAAATTTATCCTCTGCCCGGACGCGCATTAAACGCCTTAGCCAACGGCGTCCATGTGAATCCCCTGCGAATTTATTGCCTTGCCGCCATTTCAACAAGGATCGACGTAATTGTGCTTGCCTAGAGTCGGGCCAATCAAATTTCGTGCTCAAAATAGACAATCAGCTGTCGACAAACAGTTGCAAGGTTGCCATAAGCTTTGAATTTAATTGGCGGGAAATCGTTATTTTGAATTCAAAATTACAACTATATTTAATTCGAAAATTTTGTCAACTGAGTAAGGATTACAACTTCCTATTTACATGAACACAAATAATAGTTTTAGGATCGTATCTGCTACAATAACCAAATCCGACAACAGAGGCATTTTCTCAATAAATATTGTCTATGAAGCAGGAGCAATACGAATTTAACTCAGAATCGACATTGCAATTGATGGATGCAAGTTATTTAATATTCGTGCCGGCTGGCGGTGCCCTCGTGGCAGGGGTAGAGCCGGTTGGTTAGGTGTTGGTGACCACCAAGGATGGCAGCCACTGAAGAGTCGGGTAGTCGCTTCGACTTCCTTCTTTCGTCCGAATTACGTAACTATTAGTGCCGGCTGGCGGTGCCTCGTGGCAGGGGTAGAGCCGGTTGGTTAGGTATTGGTGGCCATCCAGGATGGCAGCCACCGAGGAGTCGGGTAGTCGCTTCGACCTCCTTCCTTCGTCCGAAGTTTACGGTGGGAGATACTTATCCCCGTTGTTATGGCCCTTAAGGCACAATAACCAAATTCAATAAATAGAATAAATGTAACGGCTGAGGCCGGAGTTTTATAATCGAGCCAGTGCTCTCTATTTCAAATCCAAATTAAAACTAAACTTAAGAACTAACAAAAGCTCATGCATAGCCGGCTGCCCGCGCAGACGCTGACCTTCACATTTTGCAGAAGTCAAACGATCGCTGTCAGCCAACGAAATGGAGCCACGGCTCGGAACGGTACAATGTGCTGGCTCAGCTTAGGGCCCACAAGGTGGACCCAATTTAGGGTGGACCATGCATGAGAGGAAAGTGTAATAATAATAATAATATAATATTAACAAGGGGAATAAGAATTGGCCTGCTCAGCCTAAGCTGGGAGTTGGTTGTTAACTACTCCCCCCTTAAATTGGACGCCGTCCTCGGTGACAGCCAATTCGTCGATGGACCTTTGTAGCTGGGCTGCCTCTCGTTTGCGCCTGCAGTGTTGTTGGAGCAGGACCAAGCCGCATAGTGCGAGGCTGACGGCGACTCCTGCGGCGAACCAAATCCTCGGGGAACCTCCAGCCGACACGTCATCTCTAAGCTCCTGCATTAAACGCAGGTTATGCTTGTTCATCCGCTGTAACATTGGTAGACTCAATATGTGATCGTGTCCCGTAATGTTAATTAAGGGGGAGGCCGCAATACCCGGCTCTTATTCACGGAGGAGTTGAGGTTCAAATACATTTACTCCATCGTCCCCAATTGTAAGGGGTTCCAGATTGCTGGGCCGCGTCCGGCACGTAGCCGCCCCGCCTGCATGTAACTGCCTGGCGCGGGTGTCGTGAGACGCCTTTTTGCAAAATGTGGCCAAGTTGGTAGGAGCGCAATCGGAGACTGCTAGGATTCCGTCATCGCATTCCGCCACGCTGTTGTCTTCTATTTGTAGCATAGTATGGTAGAGTGCGACAGGGCAGAGCAGGACTTTTTTACAAATACGCTTAACTCTAGGATACTGGACTATAACGTGGATAAGAACATTATTTTGAAAAATCTTAATCTAGATACATCCATAAGGCTAACTATCGGGACCTCCGTAAGCTGTTCGTCGAAAATAGCCTTTAGGTCATTATGATTGAAAATAGTAGGATTGATGATATTATTTTTAGCAAGCGTGATAGTGAACATACAATTTTGGATTTCAGATATTAACATTCTATTTCTGGCTAGTAGTGTTTCGAACAAATGGCCTGAATCAACAAGCCCGTCCTTTTTCTCCCTGAGGATCTTGTTTACTGTGTCTGTGAGTAGATTGATGTGTTTCTGTGTCTCTGTGTTAATCATAACCTGTCTATTATTAGCCTCGATAACTCTATTTAGATCATCCGCGCCGGGTGTACCCGCCACGACCTTAAGGACTGAGCCCAAAAAATCAAGGCTCCTGGCCATTCTATGGTGTATCTTAAGTTCCTCCAGAAGGTTCTGGGCATGCTCAATGTCCACTTCCAGCAGCTTCCTCATGTGGGAATTATAGCAAAGATTGGGTTTTAATATAAGGGCGACTGTGGCAGATGAAGTGCCTATCTAATGTTGTCCTTGTGGACCACCCTCCCCCTAATGAGAACAGATGTTCCCAGATCTGCTTCTACACGCTCTTCTGAATAAAGCGGTGTTAATTTGTTCCCTAACCTTTTGTTGTTGCGTAAGTGCACTCTTTCACCGACTTCGAAGACTCTGTTCTGCCTTGAAGGATTAACCCTGTCTAGGTTAGATTGTTGTGCCTTGTCAATCCTGGCTTTAATTGCCAGCTTCATCTCATCGCTGCTGGCGTGGATGACCTCTACCGGTCTAAACTCTGTAACCGAATGTAGCGACCTGTTGTACTCTATAGTAGACCTCAATATTAGTTCCACAGTATCCTCAATTTTTTTTATCAATCTTGAGGCATCTGGCAATTTCCGCCAGGGTACTGTGAAATCTCTCTACTTGGCCGTTGGAGCTACTGTGTAGCGGTGGCGCATTGACAACATCGATGCTGTATTGGTTTTGCAGCAATGATGTGATTGTCTCAGAGTTAAATGAGGCCTCATTGTCGCAGTATATGGTCTTGGTGTTAGGATAAAAATTTACCAGTTGGAGAATGGGTGCTCGTACATCTATTATTGCCCTAGAAGCTAAGGGCTGTACGACAGCGAATTTGGAAAATTTATCAATGCAAGTTAAGAAGATTTTTTTGTCGGTCGAAAAAATGTCGATATGCAACATTTCCCCAACGTATGATGGGATAGGCGTAATTCCTAATTCTTGTTTCTTGGGATGGCGATCGTATTTGGCCTTATTGCAGACCTTGCAATTTGCGACCACTTCGCTAGCTAATTTGAACATGTTCGGGAAGTAGTAATCCCGGAGAATTTGTTATGCGTTCTCCTGGGCAGCCCTATGGGCGCGATTGTGCTCTGTGTTAGTGATCTCCAACTGTTCATTAGCGTTGGTTATGTCACTGACAAAGGTTTTACAATGCCAGAACTTTGTCGCAGGAAATTCCTGCCTCAAGGCATGTTGAATGCGAGCCAGGGTAGGGAAATCACAATGAATTGCGTTCACAACGTTGGCTTTAACGATCTACTTAACGGATTCAACGAGCGAGTCCTTGTTATTAAAATTAATGATATGGCGAGTTCTATTTCTGAAGACTATGAAATCCCGCCGAAGCGGTTGGCCTGCTTCCTCCAAAATAATTTGGTTTCTAAAATAGTTCAGAGGTTTGTCTGTGGTCTCTATGGTGTATGAGAGCGAAAGCTCACTATGCACCGTAGCCGCGTCAGCCTGGGCCTCAGCTTCTGTGTAATTCAGGGGTTGCCTCGATAGTGCGTCAGCTACCAGGTTTTGTTTTCCGGGTGTGTAAAACACTTTCCCGTTGTTCTCATCAATGAACGCTTTCCATCGCTTGATCTTAGCGTTGGTGTTTTTGTCGGATACCGCATATGTGAGAGGCTGGTGGTCTGTAAAGATCCGTACCTCATTGTTACCGTATAGGTAATTTTGGAGTTTGCCTATTGCCCAGACTATCGCCAACAATTCTCTTTCGTTGGTGGCGTAGTTCAACTCGCAGTCTTTTAGCGTGCGTGAAATCATGGTAATAGGTCTTTTATTTTGGGATAGTACCGCGCCTATTCCACTCGCTGAGGCGTCGGTGGTTAAGTCAAACGGTAATTTAAAATCAGGGTATGTCAAAATGACGTCTTCCAATGCCAAAATGTTACGAAGGTGGTCGAATGCATTTCGCTGGGTTTCTTAAACCTGACAGCTACTTTTTTCGACATATTCTTGCTGACCGTCCCGTTTTCCCCTTTGAGGATGGCGGTCAGAGGTCTAGCAATGCAAGATAAGTTTTTTACAAAGTTCCTGTAATAGCTCGCCAGGCCTAGGAAGGACCTGAGCCTAAACAGATTTTTTGGTTCTGGGAACTCTTTTATTGCCCTAACTTTTTCTGGGTCTGTTCTTGTTCCTCCTCTGGTGACAATGAACCCTAGGAACTCAACGCTTTCTTTAAAGAACTTAGTTTTTTCCCGTGCCACCCTCATATTGGCATCGAGTAGGCGCTTAAGCACCGTGTCAATATGCTTGACATGTTCCGTCTCATTCTCGGAAAAGATGATAACGTCGTCGACGTAGACGTAGCATATTTTGCCGATTTCTTCCCGCAGCACATCGTCGATGGCTCTTTGGAAAATGCTCCCTGCATTTTTTAGGCCGAAGGGTAATCGGCAGAATTCGTATTTCCCACCATTGACTGAGAACGAGGTCTTCTTCGGTCCTTTTCAGCCAGGTATATTTGATGGTACCCTGACTTCAGGTCTAGGCTGGTAAAGAATTTGGCTTTCCCCAAGTTCGCTAGAATCATGGGTATGCTCGGGATGGGGTAGCGGTCGGCGATTGTTCGCTCGTTCAGCTTCCTGAAGTCGATTACTAATCGCTTCTTCTTGCTGCCATTGTCATCGGTCCCTTTTTTGTCAACCACCCAAGTAGGGCTATTGTATGGGGATCTGGACAGCCTGATTAAGCCATTTTGCAGCAGCTCTTTTATTTCATTGTTTACAAAGTCTGCTGCCCCCATAGGGTAGGGGTATAGCTTGGAGTAGATAGGTTCGTCACTCGTAGTTCGAATAGTAGCGATGACCGATGTGTTGAAGGTGAGCGCCTCGTTAGAGGTCGAAAACACCTTGATTCTTTTCAGAATAATTTTTTTGAAGTCGGCTTTAGCCGAACCTGGTACCACTATGTCATCGATCTTTGTGAAGCTGACATTCTGACAGTCAAAAAATTTGAGCTTCTCAGTGACGTTTGCGTATTTTATTACGCTGTTGCCGAGGTCCAATGCTACTCCTGCTCGCGTTAGCGAATCGAAGCCTACAATAGCATCAAACGTGCTCAATGTATCCAAGAGGAAAAATGGGACGTGTAGTCCAAAAATGCGCATTATACACTTGTTTTTGACATCACTGGAGCCGTGAATAGAGCTCACTGTAAAGGGGGTTTCAACCGGCATTACGTTTCTTAGCTCCTTTAGGGGCTTTACGTAATTTTTTGCCGCCCCAGTGTCGATGAGAACTTTTAGTGTTCTGCCAGCCAACTGTCGCTCGACGAACGGCAGTCGGGAACGCTCCCTAAAAAATGTAGGAGGTCGTTAAGCTCGGCTGTGTCGCTATCTTCCTCAATGGTGGCGACCTCAGCCTTGGCTTTGGTGTCATAATCTGTTAGTTCCTGTTGGAGTTGGGCTAAATTGTTGACGCGTTGGCGTCTTTGGCCCGATTGGCGCTGGGACGAGTTCTGCCTTTTGTAATTGTTGTTACTTTGAGGCTTTCCCCAGTTTGTTCCCTGTCTGAACTTAGCCGTTGAGGGGTCTACCTCCATCGGCTGAACCGTATTGTGGTCTAAGGACTCGGGATCTCTGCGCTTCGGCCAGTGATTGTCCTCATGAGGCTTACTTTGGTTCTGCTTAGGAATAAAGTGCGGATTCTTATCCTCACCTCTCCACTGCTTTCCCTGACCCTTATTATTGCGCCTATTGCCCTCATTGAAATGGGACTTGTCTTCTATAGCTTTCGCGTAGGATGCCGCGAACGCACTTCTTTCAATGCTGTTCTCGGCTTCCCGCGCTAATGCCAGTGCAGATGGAAGGTCTTTGGGTTGTGCTGGTAGCACGAGTGTCTTGAGTGGCCTCTTAAGCCCTGCAATGAATGCATGAAGGGCATCATCCCTAACCTCCTTATTCAGGATTGCTGCTGTGTCCATGTTATGTGACATGACTATTTTGTTAGTGACGAGCGTGAGTTTCCTCTCGACTTCGTCATAGTATGCCATAAGGTCGGAATCTCCTTGTCGAACCATTTCTAAATTTTGCCGTAGCACTCTTAGGAACGTTTTGTCCGCATATGTGCAATCTAGTCTGGCTAGAATTGCATCGAAATTTAGCACTGTGTTGTGGGACGTGAGTAGTGCCCGAGCGGGCCCGCAAATTTTGTTTTTAATGATGACAACGGCCTCGTAGTGTGCCTCGCTGCCATCGTATCTATTGAACACTTCATAAGCATCTGATGCAGCCTGCCTCCACGAAACGTACTCGTCGTGGCTTCCATTGAACGTCGGCAGGGATTTTACTATGTCCAACTTGACATCGCATCTTACTGCAGGGTCCGGTACTACTCTTTGGTAGACCTCCACCTGCGGCGCTTGCACTGACAGCGCACTAACCTGTGCTCTAACCGCTCTTAACTCTGTGGCAAAATCGTTTCTTAAGCGTGCTTCCTGCTCGACAAGAGCGGCGCTGACCGCATTTGCGACAAGCCCTTGGACCATTTCTGCGTTCATTTCTGGTTGATCTATGTCCCTAACTTCGGGGCGAAATCCTACCTCTTCGCTATCGTCGCTATCGTCACTACGAATTTCCTGCTTTACTTCCCTAAACTCCCAACGCATTGGCAGTTAAAGGGCGCTGGGTAGATACGAGGTATTTGATTATTGGGGCTCAAGACAAAAGGTTTCGGCGGGCCACTTGGTGATATAAAAGGCGAAGAGAAAAAAAAAACAAATGGATCGTCACCTAAAACACAAAAATGTTGGATTAATTTGTCTCAAAAACAAAATTAAAATACAGAACGGTGACAACAAGCATAGGTCAATTCGACTGGGTGTATTATTAGCACAGATACACTGGATAACCTTAGTTAAAAATTAAATACAAGCACAGTGGAAAAAAATTGTAGCAAAATACAAGGAGAAAAACGACTGGCAACCTCTGCATGCGTACAGAGACCAACCTTAACAAAGAAATAAAATATTCCTTTGCATAATTAATTCATGCAAATGTTGACTGCCTTGGCACCAATGTGCGTTATATGAGATATATGTTTTTTTTATTGTTATTTTTTATTTATGGCCACGCACTTAGAAAAATCTGAATCAGAAATCGAAAATCGAGTCACTATTTATTTACTGTAAAAAATTCCTAATGCTGGGCATAGGGAATTGTATGCACTGGTATTTGTGTTTGCGTAGACCTTGGCTATTGTCAGCGCTCAGCTACTTACATATTGTACAACTTCAGGGGTGAAATTCGAATATTAGTAATATTACTCCGTTGGGCGACAGTTATTTAATATTCGTGCCGGCTGGCGGTGCCCTCGTGGCAGGGGTAGAGCCGGTTGGTTAGGTGTTGGTGACCACCAAGGATGGCAGCCACTGAAGAGTCGGGTAGTCGCTTCGACTTCCTTCTTTCGTCCGAATTACGTAACTATTAGTGCCGGCTGGCGGTGCCTCGTGGCAGGGGTAGAGCCGGTTGGTTAGGTATTGGTGGCCATCCAGGATGGCAGCCACCGAGGAGTCGGGTAGTCGCTTCGACCTCCTTCCTTCGTCCGAAGTTTACGGTGGGAGATACTTATCCCCGTTGTTATGGCCCTTAAGGCACAATAACCAAATTCAATAAATAGAATAAATGTAACGGCTGAGGCCGGAGTTTTATAATCGAGCCAGTGCTCTCTATTTCAAATCCAAATTAAAACTAAACTTAAGAACTAACAAAAGCTCATGCATAGCCGGCTGCCCGCGCAGACGCTGACCTTCACATTTTGCAGAAGTCAAACGATCGCTGTCAGCCAACGAAATGGAGCCACGGCTCGGAACGGTACAATGTGCTGGCTCAGCTTAGGGCCCACAAGGTGGACCCAATTTAGGGTGCACCATGCATGAGAGGAAAGTGTAATAATAATAATAATATAATATTAACAAGGGGAATAAGAATTGGCCTGCTCAGCCTAAGCTGAGAGTTGGTTGTTAACTTGCACATATTATATTAAGAGAAGCACAATTGCTTTTTGAACCGTTCTTCTTTCTGAGCGTTTAGTTCCGACCAAAACGATAATAAAAATTTGATTAGAATTGTTAGGTTGTAATAACTTAGAAATAATTGTATGGAAGTCGAAGTTTAGAAATAAAATTCAAATAAAATAAGTTCAATGTGCAGAGATATATATATGATACATATCCTATAGAGTGCCTATCTTATTCTTCCATCTATTACATAATTTTTAAGTAATTAAAAAGTATATTCTTTATTTAATAAAAATTTGTAACTACTTTGACAGTGCACAGGGTAGTACATCATACTTACAACATATGCTCCTGTGCATCAGTGAGTTTGAGCGAAAGTTTTGTATTAAGGTAATATTTGTATTAGGGTATTTGACATTTTTTAGCAAATAGAATAGAGTTATTAATACTACTTCGCAAATACATTGTTTAGTGAGAAATCATTCAATTTACTTTAAGTTAAATATCATAAATTAAGTATAATATGCTTATACAACTTAAAAATGTGAGGAGATTAGGACAACTGATTATCAGCTTCTTGATTTCTGCCTCGTCTTCGTCAATATCATTTCATCATTTCGCCTTGCATAAAGTTAGTCACCAAAGTTTCTGTTCGGTACTTTCTGTCTGCGTTTTGGTTGAAGGCGTTGCCATAAATTACCTCTGACAGTACAAGGACGCGATTGTCTCCGAAACGATGTAGGCGTAATACTCGGCTCCGTATCCCAAAAAGTGGCTGGAGCGAAGCTGGAAAGCAGGGATTTTAACAGAGAGAAGGCCAGAGTAGCATCCCTGCACTGATCGCCTGGTGTTGGCGTTGGTGCTGATGCTGGTGATCCTGGTAGTGTATATCGCTGGCAACAAAAAATGCTTGAAAGAAAATTCTCGGAAATTGGTTGGTCAGACTGAAAGTGACGGGCAACAGTGCGAATTTACCGGGAAAGTAAAAACCACAACTGCGGGTCAGCTCATGGCGGCATCGCAACAGATCTGCGCTGCAGTTCCTCCTGGTTCTCTGTCGGTTGCAGATAAAGTCGACGGAAAAATAAGATATATAAGAAACTGTCATTAGTATTGGAGTAACAAACATATAGAAATACTTTTTACCAATGGCTTCAGGGACATGGCTTTGCGGCAATGCACTGGGTAGAACGGCTCCATTCATAAACTTCCAACATGGCTAAAGAATGTACACATTGAGACGCTCAATCCGTGACCGTTCCTTCTCGTGCAAAAGGAACACAAGCGCTAGGTCTCTATAAAGGGCATGGTTCGTGTTGAGGCTTTTTTCCACACCACAAAAGCTGATGCAGCCTGCAAGCCTTGCATTGTGAATGCGCTATCCGTTAGAACTCGAGTAGCTGTGCCAACTGCCGACTGTGTCCGATATGGCCTTTAAAATAAACTCTACATTGTCACGCGGTAAGAAGCAGCCCTCGAAGCAACTCTACATTGTCACGCGGTAAGAGGCAGCCCGTTTGACAAACGGAAGACTTCTTGTGAGGGAAACGGTCGTGGAAACCTAGTCAGTTGCATTTAGATTTACGGACTCCGGCTCTTACCACATCGTTGCGAGTAAAATTTATCCTCTGCCCGGACGCGCATTAAACGCCTTAGCCAACGGCGTCCATGTGAATCCCCTGCGAATTTATTGCCTTGCCGCCATTTCAACAAGGATCGACGTAATTGTGCTTGCCTAGAGTCGGGCCAATCAAATTTCGTGCTCAAAATAGACAATCAGCTGTCGACAAACAGTTGCAAGGTTGCCATAAGCTTTGAATTTAATTGGCGGGAAATCGTTATTTTGAATTCAAAATTACAACTATATTTAATTCGAAAATTTTGTCAACTGAGTAAGGATTACAACTTCCTATTTACATGAACACAAATAATAGTTTTAGGATCGTATCTGCTACAATAACCAAATCCGACAACAGAGGCATTTTCTCAATAAATATTGTCTATGAAGCAGGAGCAATCGACATTGCAATTGATGGATGCACATATTATATTAAGAGAAGCACAATTGCTTTTTGAACCGTTCTTCTCTCTGAGCGTTTAGTTCCGACCAAAACGATAATTAAAATTTGATTAGAAATGTTAGGTTATAATAACTTAGAAATAATTGTATGGAAGTCGAAGTTTAGAAATAAAATTCAAATAAAATAAGTTCAATGTGCAGAGATATATATATGATACATATCCTATAGAGTGCCTATCTTATTTTTCCATCTATTACATAATTTTTAAGTAATTAAAAAGTATAATCTTTATTTAATAAAAAGTTGTAACTACTTTGACAGTGCACAGGGTAGTACATCATACTTACAACATATGCTCCTGTGCATCAGTGAGTTTGAGCGAAAGTTTTGTATTAAGGTAATATTTGTATTAGGGTATTTGACATTTTTTAGCAAATAGAATAGAGTTATTAATACTACTTCGCAAATACATTGTTTAGTGAGAAATCATTTAATTTACTTTAAGTTAAATATCATAAATTAAGTATAATATGCTTATACAACTTAAAAATGTGAGGAGATTAGGACAACTGATTATCAGCTTCTTGATTTTTGCCTCGTCTTTGTCAATATCAAGATCAAGGCCAATATGCAAGGCTTCATTTCGCCTTGCATAAAGTTGGTCACCAAAGTTTCTGTGCGGTACTTTCTGTCTGCGTTTTGGTTGAAGGCGTTGCTATAAATTACCTCAAACAGTACAAGGACGCGATTGTCTCCGAAACGATGTAGGCGTAATACTCGGCTCCGTATCCCAAAAAGTGGCTGGAGCGAAGCTGGAGAGCAGGGATTTTAACAGAGAGAAGGCCAGAGTAGCATCCCTGCACTGATCGCCTGGTGTTGGCGTTGGTGCTGATGCTGGTGATCCTGGTAGTGTATATCGCAGATAACAAAAAATGCTTGAAAGAAAATTCTCGGAAATTGGTGGGTGAGACTGAAAGTGACGGGCAACAGTGTGAATTGCCGGGAAAGTAAAAACCACAACTGCGGGCCAGCTCATGGCGGCATCGCAACAGATCTGCGCTGCAGTTCCTCCTGGTTCTCTGTCGGTTGCAGATAAAGTCGATATGCGTTCTAACGTATATTACAATTTTCTGCGGAAAAATAAGATATATAAGAAACTGTCATTAGTATTGGAGTAACAAACATATAGAAATACTTTTTACCAATGGCTTCAGGGACATGGCTTTGCGGCAATGCACTGGGTAGAACGGCTCCATTCATAAACTGCCAACATGGCTAAAGAATGTACACATTGAGACGCTCAATCCGTGACCGTTCCTTCTCGTGCAAAAGGAACACATGCGCTAGGTCTCTATAAAGGGCATGGTTCGTGTTGAGGCTTTTTTCAACACCACAAAAGCTGATGCAGCCTGCAAGCCTTGCATTGTGAATGCGCTATCCGTTAGAACTCGAGTAGCTGTGCCAACTGCCGACTGTGTCCGATATGGCCTTTAAAATAAACTCTCTACATTGTCACGCGGTAAGAAGGAGCCCTTGAAACTTTTTAGTTTTGACAAACGGAAGACTTCTTGTGAGGGAAACGGTCGTGGAAACCTAGTCAGTTGCATTTAGATTTACGGACTCCGGCTCTTACCACATCGTTGCGAGTAAAATTTATCCTCTGCCCGGACGCGCATTAAACACCTTAGCCAACGGCGTCTATGTGAATCCCCTGCGACTTTATTGCCTTGGCGCCATTTCAACAAGGATCGACGTAATTGTGCTTGCCTAGAGTCGGGCCAATCAAATTTCTTGCTCAAAATAGACAATCAGCTGTCGACAAACAGTTGCAAGGTTGCCATAAGCTTTGAATTTAATTGGCGGGAAATCGTTATTTTGAATACAAAATTACAACTATATTTAATTCGAAAATTTTTTGTCAACTGAGTAAGGATTACAACTTCCTATTTACATGAACACAAATAATAGTTTTAGGATCGTATCTGCTACAATAACCAAATCCGACAACAGAGGCATTTTCTTAATAAATATTGTCTATGAAGCAGGAGCAATCGACATTGCAATTGATGGATGCACATATTATATTAAGAGAAGCACAATTGCTTTTTGAACCGTTCTTCTCTCTGAGCGTTTAGTTCCGACCAAAACGATAATTAAAATTTGATTAGAATTGTTAGGTTGTAATAACTTAGAAATAATTGTATGGAAGTCGAAGTTTAGAAATAAAATTCAAATAAGTTCAATGTGCAGATATATATATATGATACATATCCTATAGAGTGCCTATCTTACTTTATCCATCTATTACATAATTTTTAAGTAATTAAAAAGTATAATCTTTATTTAATAAAAAGTTGTAACTACTTTGACAGTGCACAGGGTAGTACATCATACTTACAACATATGCTCCTGTGCATCAGTGAGTTTGAGCGAAAGTTTTGTATTAAGGTAATATTTGTATTAGGGTATTTGACATTTTTTAGCAAATAGAATAGAGTTATTAATACTACTTCGCAAATACATTGTTTAGTGAGAAATCATTTAATTTACTTTAAGTTAAATATCATAAATTAAGTATAATATGCTTATACAACTTAAAAATGTGAGGAGATTAGGACAACTGATTATCAGCTTCTTGATTTTTGCCTCGTCTTTGTCAATATCAAGATCAAGGTGACGGCCAATATGCAAGGCTTCATTTCGCCTTGCATAAAGTTGGTCACCAAAGTTTCTGTGCGGTACTTTCTGTCTGCGTTTTGGTTGAAGGCGTTGCTATAAATTACCTCTGACAGTACAAGGACGCGATTGTCTCCGAAACGATGTAGGCGTAATACTCGGCTCCGTATCCCAAAAAGTGGCTGGAGCGAAGCTGGAAAGCAGGGATTTTAACAGAGAGAAGGCCAGAGTAGCATCCCTGCACTGATCGCTTGGTGTTGGTGCTGGTGCTGGTGATCCTGGTAGTGTATATCGCTGGCAACAAAAAATGCTTGAAAGAAAATTCTCGGAAATTAGTTGGTCAGACTGAAAGTGACGGGCAACAGTGTGAATTGCCGGGAAAGTAAAAACCACAACTGCGGGCCAGCTCATGGCGGCATCGCAACAGATCTGCGCTGCAGTTCCTCCTGGTTCTCTGTCGGTTGCAGATAAAGTCGATATGCGTTCTAACGTATATTACAATTTTCTGCGGAAAAATAAGATATATAAGAAACTGTCATTAGTATTGGAGTAACAAACATATAGAAATACTTTTTTACCAATGGCTTCAGGGACAAATCGTAATTCATAAACTGCCCATCCACTATAAGAATGTACACATTGAGACGCTCAATCCGTGACCGTTCCTTCTCGTGCAAAAGGAACACAAGCGCTAAGTCTCTATAAAGGTCATGGTTCGTGCTGAGGCTTTTTTCCACACCCCAAAAGCTGATGCAGCCTGCAAGCTTTGCATTGTGAAAGCGCTATCCGTTAGAACTCGAGTAGCTGTGCCAACTGCCGACTGTGTCCGATATGGCCTTTAAAATAAACTCTCTACATTGTCACGCGGTAAGAAGGAGCCCTCGAAACTTTTTAGTTTTGACAAACGGAAGACTTCTTGTGAGCGAAACGGTCGTGGAAACCTAGTCAGTTGCATTTAGAATTACGGACTCCGGCTCTTACCACATCGTTGCGAGTAAAATTTATCCTCTGCCCGGACACGCATTAAACGCCTTAGCCAACGGCGTCCATGTGAATCCCCTGCGAATTTATTGCCTTGCCGCCATTTCAACAAGGATCGACGTAATTGTGCTTGCCTAGAGTCGGGCCAATCAAATTTCGTGCTCAAAATAGACAATCAGCTGTCGACAAACAGTTGCAAGGTTGCCATAAGCTTTGAATTTAATTGGCGGGAAATCGTTATTTTGAATTCAAAATTACAACTATATTTAATTCGAAAATTTTGTCAACTGAGTAAGGATTACAACTTCCTATTTACATGAACACAAATAATAGTTTTAGGATCGTATCTGCTACAATAACCAAATCCGACAACAGAGGCATTTTCTCAATAAATATTGTCTATGAAGCAGGAGCAATACGAATTTAACTCAGAATCGACATTGCAATTGATGGATGCACATATTATATTAAGAGAAGCACAATTGCTTTTTGAACCGTTCTTCTTTCTGAGCGTTTAGTTCCGACCAAAACGATAATTAAAATTTGATTAGAAATGTAAGGTTATAATAACTTAGAAATAGTTGTATGGAAGTCGAAGCTTAGAAATAAAATTCAAATAAAATAAGTTCAATGTGCAGAGATATAAGTTAACACCGGCCAAGAGCACCCTTCCCTTCACCGCCTCTCGACCCGGATACCAGACACCGCGACTTCCCTCATCACCCCACTCAGCCAACCCGACGACCAGCAGAGTCACAGCAGCGGTAGTGCAAACCCCAAACGTCAGCGGCGTCAGAGCGACAGCGCAGCGACAGAACGTCAAGGGCAGAATGGCACCGGCAGAACCGCGGCTGTCAGCGTCGGACTGCTGCAACCGCTCTGCCAGCGTTATGCGGTCAACAAGCCAGGCAAATTATGATTGAGAGCTACTTCGATTTGTACCCCCGAGGCAACCAGACGACTGTTCTAGATAATAATAAAACCATTGTAACGTATTAAAACGCTTACTGTTTTATTTTAACGTAGCTGCGTAGAATGAAAGGTTAAAATTGTGGATTGATAACGCTGATCTTAAATTTATAACCGTATTAATTGTAGTAATATTCATAATAAATGTGGCAAATCTATTGTATAAAGGATACCACAATAAATGTATCAAGAAAAGATACCAGAGCCAAGCACTTGGATAAAATTTAAAAAACAAATTTTAATTAAAAAAAAAACTGCATTTTACATAATTAAGCTAAATAAATGACAATTTTATGAAAAATATAATTCCATTTCCTAATTTGTTGTAATGTAATGTATCTGTGTGGTACCATTAAAATGTATAGATAGAGAGACAGTTAAAAAAAAATTTTTATATATAACTAAAGACAAAACTAAACTAAAGAGGCGAAGAACTATTTCATTATTTTCCATTATGAATTGCAATGGAATGGAATAATTTGAACGGAAAATTAGTTGATATTAAAACACAGTTCGATAAGTCCTATAAATGCTTAACGCAAAATAGAAGCGTATCTAGCGTAACACAAAAAAAACACGCAACAACGCTAGTCTCTTGTTTCAGCCAAGCACGTTCATTGATACACGGCAATAGAGAAAAGTTAAACTCTCACCATTGGTCGTATGTATCAAGATTTTTACAGAGGTTGAAAAATAACCTTCAGAATATAAAGGCAAAATACTTACTAGAAATTACAATACCTTCGATACTGAACACACCAGCAGTAATCGAAGAAGACACAAATACAGATATAGAAGCTGTAAGCGATGCAGAAATCGCAAGCGATTCAGAACATCAGATTAAAGAAGAAGATCTACAGGATCTCACGATACCAGCGGTAATACATTTTCCCGAGGTATCCGAGTCTGAGTCAGAATCAATATCTGGAAAAATCGTAAACATGGATATGTCACAGGTAGAATACCTAAAGATTGCCTCATCTCTGCTGCCAGAGTTTGATGGAAAGGCAGAAAATCTGACAAGTTTCACAGACGCATTGAATCTAATTGATTCACTAAAAGGCACACATGAAACAACAGCCATTAACCTAATTACGACAAAATTGAAAGGCCATACAAGAAAGTTCATTACCACAGAATCAACTATTGTTGACATAATTGGTAAATTAAAAAATAAAATAAAAGGTGATTCAGTATCAGGGATCACTGTAAAACTAATGAACCTTCAGCAAAAGCAAAAAACCGCCAATCAATATGTCCAAGAGGTAGAGAAGTTGGCAAAGGCCCTAGAATGTAGGCTCCCATCGACGATGGGCTATCCTCCGAAACAGCCACTAAATACAGCACAGAGCATGCTGTCAGTGCAATTATTAAAAACTGCTCTATAGAAAAAGTTAAATACATAATGGAGGCTGGTACATTCAGCACTCTAGACCAGGCAACGACTAAGTTTGTCAATAGTTGCACAGATGCAACAGGACAACCTAATACTGTTCTATACTTCAGTGGTCAACGACCCTATTATAGAGGTAGTCGGGGAAACTACCGAGGTAGAATAAATACCCAAAGCAACAGTAATCGTCGTTATAATAATAACAATAGAGGCAGAGGCCAGTATAGAGGAAATTATAGAGGACGCGGCAATCAAAGCCACGGCCAAAATAATAACCCCTATAATGTACGTGTCACCCAAGGTAATTCGGAAAACTACCAGGAACCCTTAGGTACACAAAATTAACTAAAAAAGTACACACAGTAAACTTGAGTCTTAATATGTTTGTAGTATTCAAAAATTCCGCCACAAATAATAATCTTACATTTCTCCTAGATATAGGAGCAGACATTTCATTACTAAAAGACAATTCCGATACTTTTGAAAACATCAAGCAAGATAGAACAATAGATATACAAGGCATTGGACAAGGAGTAATTAAGTCCAATGGTTTAGTTCGAATTGAATTGCAGACTGACAAGTATATAATTCCGCACAATATCCATTTAGTTTCAAAAAATTTCGCAATACCATGCGACGGAATTATAGGAGTTGACTTCATAAAAACGTTTAATTGCAAGTTAGATTGCGAACCAGCAAATGATTGGTTCATAATAAGACCAAATAACTTAAAATACCCAATAAACGTTCCAATAAAGTTCAGTTCTGGTAATAATTTAATAGTATTACCAGCAAGATCTGAAGTTGTCCGTAAATTAGATATAAACTTACCAGAAGATATCTTAATTCCAAATCAAGAAATAGTATCTGGTATTTATGTAGCGAATATAGTAGCAACATCCAATAATACATTTGTCCGTTTACTGAATACAACCAGTACCGACCAATTAATAGATATAAAAAACATACAGTATGAACCGCTTTCGAATTACGAGATAATTCAACCAAGCAAAGGTTCTAGAACAGATGAAGTCATATCCAAATTAAAGAAAAACTTTCCTACGCAATTCAAATCAGAGCTCACTGACATATGTTCCAAATATAGTGATATATTCGGACTGGAAACCGAATCAATCAAAACTAATAATTTTTACAGACAACATTTAAGACTTAAAGATAAAGAAGATCATCAGGACGAAATAAAGAACCAAGTGGATAAACTTATTAAAGACAATATAGTTGAAGAGTCTGTATCTGAATACAATAGCCCACTTCTGTTAGTACCAAAGAAATCAATCCCAGGTTCTAATGATAAAAAATGGAGATTAGTAATAGACTATCGTCAAATTAATAAAAAACTTCTGTCCGATAAATTTCCCCTACCTAGGATTGACGACATACTCGATCAATTAGGTAGAGCTAAATACTTTTCATGCCTTGACCTTATGTCAGGTTTTCATCAAATAGAGCTTGAAGAAAAATCAAGAAATATAACGTCATTCTCAACCAACAACGGCTCATATCGCTTCACGCGACTGCCATTTGGTTTAAAAATAGCACCAAATTCATTTCAGAGAATGATGACAATAGCATTCTCAGGTTTAGAACCATCACAAGCATTCCTTTATATGGACGATTTAATCGTCATTGGATGTTCAGAGCAACACATGTTTAAAAATTTAATTAAAGTATTCGAACTGTGTAGGAAGAATAATCTTAAACTACATCCAGAAAAATGTTCATTTTTCATGCACGAAGTGACATTTCTTGGCCACAAGTGCACAGATAAGGGGATACTTCCAGATGACAAGAAATATGATGTCATCATGAATTATCCAATTCCACATGATGCGGATAAAGCTAGACGTTTCGTTGCATTTTACAATTACTATCGACGCTTTATTAAAAACTTCGCCGACTATTCACGGCACATAACAAGATTATGTAAAAAGAATGTTCCCTTTGAATGGGCAGATGAATGTCAAAAAGCATTCCAATATTTAAAAGATAAATTAATAGAACCAACACTACTACAATATCCTGATTTTAGCAAAGAATTTTGCATAATCACTGATACAAGTAAGCAAGCATGTGGAGCAGTCTTAACTCAAGACTATAATGGACTCCAACTTCCCATTGCTTACGCATCAAGAGCATTCACAAAAGGTGAAAGCAATAAGAGTACTACAGAACAAGAATTAGCAGCAATCCACTGGGCAATATTACATTTTCGACCATATATTTATGGAAAACACTTTACAATTAAAACAGATCACAGACCGTTAACATATTTATTTTCTATGGTGAATCCTAGTTCTAAATTAACACGCATGCGGTTAGAATTAGAAGAATACGACTTTACTGTCGAGTACCTAAAGGGCAAAGATAATTTCGTGGCAGACGCCCTATCTAGGATAACAATATCCGAATTAAAAGACATACAAAACAAAATCCTGAAAGTCACTACCAGGTACCAAAGTAGACAAAATATCTGCGCAGATAATGAAAAAGTAGAATTGCTAAGGCAATCTACAGAAAAAGCTTCTCAGCCCAACGTATACCAAGTCATAAATAATGACGAAGTACGTAAAGTAGTGACCTTGCATATAAAAGATGTGCTATGTTTATTTAAACATGGTAAGAAAATTATATCAAGAATAGATATTGGTGATTTATGTTCAAATGGAAATATTGACTTAGGACAACTATTTCCAAGGCTTGAAAAAGAAGCCGGTACATTAAAAATAAGCCAATTGAAAATGGCACCGTGGGAAAACATCTTTGAAAAAATTTCAATAGATGATTTCAAAAATATGGGCAATGAATTATTGAATACATTAAGAGTAGCGCTACTCAACCCGGTGAACACTTTAACAAATGTTAAAGAGAAAGAAGCAATATTGTCTACATTCCATGATGATCCTATACAAGGAGGGCGTACAGGCATTACAAAAACCTTGACCAAGGTAAAAAGAAATTACTTCTGGAAAGGTATGACTCGTGATATAACACAGCATATCCAGAAATGTGAAAAATGCCAAAAAGCAAAA